ACACAAAAATGTTTTATATTTTATATAATATTTAATATGCATTATATTGACTAAGGGAATGAGTGAGAGTTAAGTATCACAATATATTACTACATCATTGTAATCATTACGACCATTATGCCTGTAATTTCAGCTGTGTGTTGTATAGAGGTCGACCGATATGGGTTTTTCTCTGGCCGATGCCAATACCGATATTTAGAAATCAGGGCAGCCGATGGCTGGTATATGATGCCGATTTTCTTTTTCTTTTTTCCCCTTCATCTCATAAAAGAGAGTTTGAGTATAGCAGGGCACAAGATAGTAGTAGTAGCCTAATTCATATTAATAATACATGGCTCAAAACTTAAGCACCTTCTCAAAACAGCTCTGAAGCATGTTTTTTGTTTATGTTTGCAGACAGACACCAGTGGCCCTGTCCCAAATGGCACCCTAAACCCTTGCGGAGTCCACACTTTCGTGACGTAATGCCGCTTTGACTGTCGGGTAGAAGTCTGCTGCGGAGCTCGCCCCAGTTCGGGCTCGGCAGAAGTGCGGATCGAGGGCGCATAACGGCTGCAAAGGGGGTGCTTGCGAGCATGTGGCAAATAGTCAAAATGACAAATAGGACACCCTACGGTCTCGTGGACTTAACAGACACGCGGCGGCCATTGTAAGACTGCAAGTGCACATGAAGTGTTCCATTTGGGACAGGGCCAGTGTTTCCCACAGACTTGCAAATGCAAAGTCATTCTCTGACAGCAGGAGGCGCTGCTGGCACAGGAGATATAGCGGTTTCCCCGATAACGGCTGTAATCAAATAAGCGCTACTTTATAAGGCATTACAGGAAAGACAAAATGAAAATGACATTGAAGCTTTTCTGAAGACGGTCGGTTCTTTTCAAAGATACATTCATATAAAAACACCCGCGCTGCATTTTAATTTAGAAACGTACAGTGCTCAGTTTATTCAAGAAAGTATAAGCCTTTTGGAAAATCTATTTGTGGCGGTCAGTTTTGATATTGTGACGAGCCGTCACAAATAATTCAATGTATGGGAAACACTGGACACTGCTATGTCAAATGGCCATAGTGATAACAAAAATGAAAGTTCACTTAAATTACACAGCCTTCAGCACACGAGCGATGACATCGTGGAGGCTATTATCGGACCAGAAGTTTCGTCTGAATTGCATGTGTTTCTACTTTCACATGCAAGTGACTTGTTGCACTTATGAATATAATAAGCATGGTCGGCATCAATTCTAGTAGGGGAAAAAACTTAATTACACTTTCGAAATGGTCTATTTCCCCCCCCCCACCCCCCCGCCCCCCTTGAAGGTCAAGTTAATTTTATTTAATTATATTTTCTCTATAGCGCCAGATCACAACAGAAGTCATTTAAAGTTATCTTTCTTATAGAACATGTCTATACATTGTTCTTTCATTAAGCAAACTAAATAGCCTTAGGTTATTTATCTTACTTACACGACGGCATGTCATTTCAGTCTCTACGTTATGGTCGCGCTCTCTGCATCACGCACAGCGGAGTTCCGCCCGATGCGCGCGCTCACACACACAAACACACACACACACACACACACACACAAGTAAGCCCACTCCCACTAGTATTTGTAAATATTAAGCCGCAAAACGATTCATATTTAAATATGAATTCTGCGTGTCTCTGTGTTAATGAATGTAGACATGCTAAAACAGAATTTGGTTACAATAAAACATAAGGTTGGACAAATAAAACTTTTCATAGGGTCCTAAACGTAATATTTGTTAAACTTTTAATAAACTGATGTTAAATTGTTTAAGTTTCATGATTTTAATTAATTAGACATGCTTTTTGATTAATAAAATGTCATTTAACCATTAAAAAGGAGTCTAGGAAAAAAAAAAAAAAACAGAATCTACCCCCCCCCCCAAAGCCGTAAACCTAGGGGAAACACTGTATTGTGATACGTATCGTATCGTGGCATCTGTATCGTGATACGTATCGTATTGTGACTTTGCTGGTGATACACAGCCCTATCTTTCAGCACTGGTTAGTTCTCACCACTGTTTTAAAAAATGCTAAAAAAAAGTGGGCGTGGTGCGCTACGAGTAGGGGGGGAAGAGGGGAGACAGACAACACACAGCGTCGCGTTCAGACAGTTTCATTTCGCTCCCATCGAGTTAAAAACACAAATGCACAACCATTTGCACTCTGCATCGAAACATATAAATGAACGCGCTGTTGAACCTCTTATAACTTGTAAGGCTTATTCTGCTGCATTTATATAAGCCTTTTGACAGCTTGTGTCACGGAGATGTAAAATGGTTACACTCGCTAAGTGAATGAATCGTGTTTTTGCCGAACTCTTATTACAAAGCAAAAACAAACACTCTTCTTCGATCCATGAACGTTTCTCTCAGTTAATGTGCGTGATGTCATCTCACAGTCTGAAGCGTCTGTCATAGCAAATCAACACATGCTGTTGTGAATAATTAAGTGAAGCGTCTTCTCATAGGATAAGAACACGCAGTCTCATGAATAATTAAATAGACACCGATGCGTCATCGATGTATTATAGTCCTTTGCCACGTCACAAATTGTGACGTCGACACGATGTAGATTTTAAACCCGGAAGATGAAAATAGCGCAAAAAAGCTTAAAATTAACCAGTTTTCTCCAACAGTTAAAATGATTGGATGCTAACATTGCCTTCTATGATGTGCAACACAAACACCTCTGCTAAAATCTCAGAAAAGTAGTCTGGGGTCTCATGACCCTTTAAAAAGAATAGATGTAGAATTTGTGCTGTAGCTGCCCTGTAGCACCATGTTTGTGGTGTTTCTTTTTTTGCTTTTAATAGAAAGATAATTCCTCTGTGATCCAATTAACGCCTGCATTACCCTCCTATTTTAACAGCAGTAATCAGCTCGCACTAATGCTGCAGGTATCAGAAGCGGCCCCGCTCTCAGATCTCAGCGCCCATCGCTGGAACAGTCACGCCAAGCCACTAGAACAGCATTTCTTCCTCCTGTCATCCTTTAATTGGCTCCATTTACATCACTTGCGAAGATTATATCACTCCTTGACACCCTTGAATTGCATTTCATCCAGTGACTTTTGCCCTCTGTTTGTCCGTCCGCCCAATCAAGCGCCGAGATGTGCAGCCGAGGTCCATCCCTTCCGCTCGTGATGGTGGCCCATTATTGTTGCTATGGGAACAGTCTCAACTTAGCTGTCTGTGCTGATTTCCTCCCTCTGCACCACGTCGTCAACATGTGAGCGCACAGGTTGTTAAACTGGTAACTTCTGCTGGGCTTCGTCAAAAAGCAAACACATTGATGATGAGAAAGGAAGTGCTGTAGCTGGTGGGATCTAGTGAAATGAAAGGTCAAAGTGGCCGTCTGATGGAGGATTTTCTGAATTAGGAGAGTGGTGTCTGTCCTGTGATTTTAAGGATAATCTTCTCAACAATAACTAATCCACGGTCCACTGGTTAGGTTGTTATTATCATCTTGCATTCATCGAGAGCGCTTGCCTCCACGAGAGACAAATGAGAGCTAAACTGTTTGGGTGAATCTAACAGATGAAGGTTTGCGCCATATTTCATCCAAAAGAGGATAAAGATAAATTGTTTTACATAAAAGCCTTTTTATTGTGTCATTTATTTTCACATATATATATATATGTGACAAATTAAGAGCTGAATTAACATTGCTTTATATTCTGAAATGTAAAATATTTAATGAAATGAATATAAAACATAAATTTGTAAATGCACCAGTGTGCAGGCATTTTTTGTGTTTTATACATAAGATACAGTAAGAACATGAACAAAGTAAAACAAACTGACAAATAAAATAAAACAAATATACAAATAAAATGAAATAAACAGTGCTGTCATTTTTCCATGAAGTTCTACTAACATTACTGTTCAGGTAAGTAATAACCTACAAAAGAAATCTAAAAGTAATCAAATGTAAATGAACACTGCATAGTTTTCATTGTATGTATCGATAGATGAATGCTTATTAAAGCTATAACGTTATTCAGATTAAGAGCAGATTTGCATTTTGATGGCCCAAGCGCCAGTCTGTCACTTTAAGACAATATATTGACACGCATCGGATTTTCTCCCAACTGTTCTCCTCCACTTAATTAAGACATAAACTGTGTTTAAGTAAATACTCTCCAAGCCGGCCATTTGGACATATTTAGTGTGTATTTGATCGTTTGGACATGCGCCCGAAGCTCAAAGTGTAATTTGTTTGTCCGTTTTGGAGCACGTCGCGCACACATTTCAGCCTGAGGAACAGCGTCTCTTTTGCGGATTGTGCTTTCAACGTTTTATCAAACATGTCCTGCAATTTAGCAACAGTAAAGACAGCATCTTACAACAATCACCGATTGAGCTGATTCTGATTCTATTCGCAATTCTGATGAATTGCGAATAGCAAAAATGCATCTTAGACAAATGTATGAAAAACAGCTGGCGACTCTGGTGAGATAGAATTGGCAAGATAATGTATATATAGCAATAATAAATGTATGTGTGTTTTATTAATTTCTCCTGTACCGATAGCAGAACTGTTAACGTCAGAGCTTATCAATACTCCGGTCTTTCATAATTTAGCCCCGGTACCGATTAAATACCGAGTTTCGGTACCCATCCATATCGCTTGTGGTCTTTCTTGTATTTATTCACCGCGTGATATTGATTTGATTATGAAAATGCTGCTTTGTTGGAACAGCTTCTCCCTTCAAAGCAAATCATATTATATTTATTCATGGTGGTACAGCTGCTGTTTGAGCTGTCTCCTTTTTATTTACTCTGGTTATATTTTTGTTTACACTGGCATGAAAAGATCTATGACGGGCATCAATATAGCTGCTGTTTTCTTAGTTTTTTATATATACAGTACATTTTTCTTGTATTGTGCACGCTAAAAAGGTCAAGTCTTTCCATCGGTCATTCTGTTTCGCACCTTATCTAACTGTTCTCTTTCCTCCCTCTGTTGTCCAGGTTTCCTCTTGTTCAAGGATTTCTGCATGAACGAGATCGACGAGGCCGTTCCGCAGCTGAAGTTTTATGAGGAGGTAAAATTGGTTTAAATCTATATGTTCCTTTCATTGCGAGCACGCCAGTCTTCGTGGCATTTGTGTGGGTTTTTTGCTGAATAGTTTCCAAGTTGTGTGTTTGACCTGACCTGTCCTCAATCTGGTTGTGACCTGAAATGGCACAGCTCAGTCGTGAAGTTTTGTTCCCCTTCTATTGACCTGAACAACACCATGTGTCCTATTAAAGAGCATGGGGTTGTGTCTGAGATTACTATAATCTTGTTTTGTCCCCTTCAGATTAAAGAGTACGAGAAGTTGGATTCAGAAGAAGAGAGGCTAACTCGCAGTCGACAGATTTATGACGTGTACATAATGAAGGAGCTTCTGTCATGTTCACATGTAAGAAAACTTTTGGCAGAATAAAATGATCACTAGCAGTCATTTCACATGCATATGGCAAAGGGCTGCATTATTAAGCAATACTAAAAATTATGCCTTTTACGTTCAACTACTTTTAAAACGTGCCACTTACAGCATGTTATTTAGATATTTTCTTGTTTTTATAGTTTTACATATAAACCATTTATCTTGGATCAATAGATGACCATGCAAAAATAAATAACAAATATAATAATATAATCAGTACAAATAGTATTGTAATGTGTATACAAATTATTCTATTTATGATTATTATTTTATTTGTTTTTAAACAATTTTATTTATATAATATACATTTATATACACATTTTTTATTTTTATTTTTTACATTTATTTACATTCTTTATATATATATATATATATATATATATATATATATACACACACATACATGCATACATTCACACGCGCGCGCGCTTTTAATTTACTTTTTTTTTTTTATTATATACTATAAAAATATAAGGGGAATATATGGGGAACGGGGTTCTATAATGCTGCTAGCTGGAGGGGGACTATGGTTCTTATTGTCCAATGCAGATCCGGAGACTCTATTTCGGATGTTTCTGTTGAGAAAACAAGTGTCCCATTAGCCTCCGTCAGTCTCTAGTCATAGCTTTTCAGAAACAGGAAGCCTGAATGAACCAACACAATGGCCTATAGGACACTCGAGGCCTGTGCGATTATGTCAGTGTTTTATGTTGTGATAACCGGGAATGGTTGGGAGGCTAATGTCAAACTTGACGTTTGTTCAGGGGGAACAGTTCTTGTTGTTTTAGTGTTTTGACCTCCCTTATCGCAAAATGTCACTTAATCTACCTTCCTTTCTCACAGCCCTTCTCTAAGAAGGCAGTAGACCATGTCCAGACTCACCTAGCAAAGAAACAAGTTCCTCCAAATCTCTTTCAGGTAAGTCCCCCAACACTAAATAAAATCTAACCTGTTTTTAGGAAGTAAAGTGTTTGGGTAGCAGGACTCTCAACAGATCCTGATGCATTTGTTTGCTTTGCTTTTTCCAGCCATACATAGTTGAGATCTGTGACAGTCTACGAGGAAAGATCTTTCAGAAGTTCATTGAAAGGTGACACAGACGGCTACAAAAAAAACTTACTTTTTCCCTTTTTTGTTGCATGAGAATGATTTTAACATCTTAAAACCTTTCGCTCCACTCTATAGCGACAAGTTCACACGTTTTTGCCAGTGGAAGAATGTAGAGCTCAACATCCATGTGGGTTTTTCCTTGCATTTGGTGCTTTTTATTCACCTGTAAGTTGTTTGTTTTCCTTTATAAACTGGTTCTCTTTACTATTGCTCTTGATTTTGCACATAGTTGACGATGAATGACTTCAGCGTGCATCGGATCATCGGCAGAGGGGGGTTCGGAGAGGTTTACGGATGCAGGAAAGCAGACACAGGGAAAATGTAAGTGCTGTTGTAAGGATCAAATCAAAAAGAAGCCAAATTTGGGTTTGCATAAAAACATCTGCTCATTTACTGTGTGTGTCTCAGGTATGCCATGAAGTGTTTGGATAAAAAGCGAATCAAAATGAAGCAGGGAGAAACGCTGGCGCTCAACGAGAGAATCATGCTGTCGTTGGTTAGCACCGGGGTGAGTGACACATACAAACTCAGACCACACACTAACATCCCTGTCTCACTTGTTTGACCCTCTCTGTCTCTTTCTCTCTATGCAGGACTGCCCTTTCATAGTGTGTATGACATATGCCTTCCACACTCCTGATAAACTGTGTTTCATCCTGGACTTGATGAATGGTAAGGGCAGCCATTATATCTTTGGCCTGCTATAGGCTTGTTCACACAACGTGATTACACATTACAAAAATGAGGCATTTTTTTCTAACTAAAACTATTTATTTTAATGCCTAATGTTAAAACTTCAAATACATGATTTTTTGCCACCAAAAAAATTTGGAATCTGTCATGTCATTCAAATACTATTGTAATTTTTTTATGTTTCGCTGTAATTTTAGCTTATGATTTCAGGTTTTGTAAAGTACAGTTGGTTTAGTATAATATTTAGTATTTATTCATCATTGTTTATTAGTTTATTTAGCTTTAACTTAATGAAAATGAGAAATATTGCCTTGGCAGCTAACTGAAATGAAATAGGTTTTTAAATAAAATGATTGTATTTCAGTTAACATTTATTTTATTTCAAGTAATGAAAATGTTTGTTATGGTTTTAGTTAACAATATTAACCCTGGTTCATAGTGGTTTTGCTTTAAATGCATGAGCATATTTTTGTGCTGAAAGTTTGAACTGAATACGTAAATACCATGAAGTGTATGAACTGAAGCGTGAGTATCATGAGCAACCTCAAATCTTACAGATCGAGCACCTCCTAGTATGAGATTGTAAAAGCCCATTTAGAGTTCTAATTTTGGCCTTTCTCTATAACTTAATGTCAGCGTGAATATGGGGCGGAGCTTCCTCTTCAGACACTCACACTTCCTATATCTGCGCTGCAGTGTGGGTCACTTCTCTGAACGTCCTTCTGGATTTGTGAAACAGTCACAGCACTTGCACAGGTCTTCAGAAACAGAGGAACATACTCTACAAAAGCATTTGGACACTGATGAGTCCATTAATAATAACCCCTGCTACATATCAGTATGATAAACATTTTCCCAGAAATGTCCAATGTTGAAGTGGCTGTTCATGTGACGTCTCTCCATCAAATTACTCTTACAGGGTAGACTAGAAGATCCTTAAGTGACCTATTATTTATAACAATTAGAGAAGATAAGTGTTTTGCAAGCTGCAATTAAATATAAACGTCATTGCACAAAAAAGCTGTTGGGGAAATTTCAGTAAATTCAAAATGTGAATTTAATCTAGAAGAAATCATCAGGTTTCCCAACAGAATCGCTGGGGATTTCGGGGATTTCTTTTTTTATTTTATTATTATTTAATTTACTTATTTTTGTTTTGTTTAGTTTTTTAGTTTAATTTTTTTTTATGGTTTATTTTATTTTGCTGTATTTGAGATTTTTTTAAATATCCCCTACAAATGACTGAAATTGTGGTAACACTTTACAATAAGGTGTCATTTGTTAACATTAGTTAATGTATTAAATAACATAAACAAACAATGAAAAATACACTGCAATTAAATATAAATGTCATTGCACAAAAAAGCTGTTGGGGAAATTTCAGTAAATTCAAAATGTGAATTTAATCTAGAAGAAATCATCAGGTTTCCCAACAGAATCGCTGGGGATTTCAGGGATTTCTTTTTTTATTTTATTTACTTAATTTGTTTTGTTTAGTTTAATTTTTTTTATGGTTTATTTTATTTTGCTGTATTTGAGATTTTTGTAAAAATCCCCTACAAATGACTGAAATTGTGGTAACACTTTACAATAAGGTGTCATTTGTTAACATTAGTTAATGTATTAAATAACATAAACAAACAATGAAAAATACATTTATTACACTATTTATTAATCCAATTATTAGCAGAGTGTGACCAAAGAGGAAACACCCAAACTCTGCTTTGATCTCTTCCAATCATAATGCATGTTCAACATATATGTCCATTTAAGGTGTCCAACTATGTCCTCCAGATGAGCTTCTAAGAATTTAATGCAAATTAGGGTTGTGACGGTGAGGAAATTTTCCCACCAGTTAATCGACGCGTGACAACACCGGTAATACCAGTATCACCGCGGGGGGCGGGGGCGTTCCCTCTTTTCCTCGCTTTCCTTCGCTTTTAAATAGCTTGTAAAAGCGGCGTGCGCATTTTACTTTCACTTTCAAATAGCGGCAATTCGGAGTAACGCAATTGTTCAAAGCTTGGAGGCACAGCATATACACCTTGATGTAAAATAAAATAAACAAAGTTTAAATAAAGTAATCAGCAAACACTGCGGAACCAAATAAATAAGAAACGAATGTTTAAAAAAACTTCCAGTCAATAGGCTTTTCAAAATCTAAAATATTGTCAAACAAGGCGCCTTTGCTTTTCCTTTCTAAAGAATCTTCTGCCATCGTCTTGTCTTTCTCACCTCACTCTTGTCAGTCAGCTCGACTCCTGGTCCGTGGTGCACTGTTGTTCGCGCACGGTTCGGCACGCTACATTGAGTGTTTAGTTTATAAAAGTGTCTGTCCTCTAACTGAACTAGGCAAAATTATTTTTGTTACTATAAAAAAAATCAAAACGACGGTGCCGTGGTAGGCAAATGACGTAACCGGTGTTGCGGCTTAACACCGGTATAACCGAAAACACCGTCTATCGCAGCAAGCCTAATGCAAATCATTTTTTAAGTAGCCGAAACGTCTAAGAAACTAAAATAACATTTCTGTCTCACACTTGTCTTGCACATACATACATACATACACACACACACACACACATTAAATAGTTTATCTCTCAGGTCGATTTTTACAAAGCTCATCGGTCTGAAAAGCGAGGTTTGCTCTGATTGGCCTGCTATCCAGTGTGTTGTGATTGGCTGGATACCTCAAGCATGTGACGGAAATGTTACGCCCCTTACCATACTGTTATGCCGTGTCCCGGTGCGACGAGACAAAACCAATAAAACCCTTTACAAACGAGGCATTTGTTGCATCCAGTGGGGACATAATTACGGGTTTTAATGACTTATACTGTCTTTTTACGCGTTGCGTTGCATCGTGCCACATATACATAAAACCATGTCTGCATTTGTGATCGGAGAAATGACAAACAACAAGCGCTACTCTACACTGCTCAAAACTCGCGTTTGAATCATCAGTGGCAAATTCTTTAAATATGAAAACGTACTTACAGTCTGTGAGTCAGAACAGCCGGCATTGTAGTCTACTCTACCAGGATCAGGAAACAGTCCTTCATAAAATGTGCTGCACACATCTGAATATTTGTGTTGAACTGTTCTGGAACAGTGTTGTAAATGCAACTTAACCGCTGATTTCTATTTTCGCTTTCACAATGAAACACACAGCATCTTCACATGGCGGCGGCGGTGGCAGCAACAATAAAGTTAAGCCTTCTTTCTTTGCGTGAACATTTGGGCGGTGTTGTGCAAATCTTCCCACACAGTGACGTAGACATGTGGGGGCGTGTTTAAACGAGGCGTTTTAGGAGGGCGTGGACCAGTCTTAACTTTTATAAAGAACATCTCTTTGGGTTTGAGACTTTAGTCTTTGCAACTTTAGGGATCTTATCTATTCACGAACAGCTTGTAACACTCCAAAATCGCATTATATGACCCCTTTAATATTTCAGATAAAAAATAAAATTTCCTCCACAGAAAGTTTTACACTTGCTGTTTTTTCTCATTAAATGTACTCCATTTAATCACAGTGATGCTGTTTTTGTAGATGTTGCTTACAAAAAGAGAGTCTGTTCTTTATCAGGCTCTTAAAAATATTTTTTTTGGACTGTTGGGACGGTGTCCTAATCTCTACATCACTTTCTGTTCCTCACAGCCTGCAAATATCCTCTTAGACGAACACGGACATGTTCGCATTTCTGACCTGGGCCTGGCCTGCGATTTCTCCAAAAAGAAGCCTCACGCCAGCGTGTAAGTTCCTCTTCACAAGGCTTCAAAACCTTATCTTTTATTAGTGCAAAATAAAAGTGTCTGTTGTTTGGGGAAGGTGTGGTTGCTTCTGTTCTCTGACAATGTTTCTTTGAGCATACACAAGCTCTTTGTTGTTTCATACTCGTGCATATTGCATCGTTTCTTTATTTTTTTTGCAGTCAGTTATGGAATCTTATACCACAGTCTAATCTGTTTTCTCTGTGCATGTATACAAATGCTTTTACCAATGAATTTCATATAAGCAGTCACGTTATACATGCATACAGTGTTTGCGCTCACATTTTCACATACATTGTTTTGGCTAGGGTTATTTCAGTGTCCTTTCATCTGAGTTGTTGTAATGAATCTCTTTATTTATTATTTCAATGGGGTTTTTTTTAGAAACATTTCACATTTGAAGGGGACAATTAAGTATTTTTTTAATTACCTCAGTGTACACTAGTGTCCAAAAGTTAATTTGATCAAAAATGCAGTAAAACGTTAATATTGTGTAATATTTTTACAATTTAATTGAACTAATATTTTAATATATATTAAAAAGTACTTAATTCCTATGGTGGCAAAGCTGAATTGTCAGTGTCACATCCTTCAGAAATCATTCTAATATGCTGATTTGATGCAGCAGAAACATTTATTATTATTATCAATGCTGAAAAGGCATTGATAATAATAATTATCAATTATTGTAAACATTACAATAATTGACAATAATCCCCCCCAGAGTTATTTGACTAGAACAAGGATTTGTTGAAAATAGAATTTTTGTAATATTAATAACTGGCTTTCCTTTTTTTATCAATTGATTATGTCCCTGCTGAATAGAAAATATAAATTTCTTTCAAAAAAGAAATCTTACGGTCCCCAAACGTTTGAATGGTGGTGTAATATTCAGACAAACTGATTTGTTTTCAAACCAAAGCTCTGTCTCATGCATTGAAAGCAAGTTGTGGATATGACATCATAGCCGTGACAATTTTAACATATGACACCCAAGTTTACATGTCAGCACCAATTCAATGCTCATTTCACATTCAAAGGGCCTGGACAGTTTTATTTATGAAATGTTCTCTCTTAAATATAGACAGTGCAATCTTAAAAGCACAGTAGCGAAAACATCCTGGTAAATGCAAAGGGTCAGAGAGAGGATGAAAAACCTTTTGTGTGTTATGTAGCAGTTGTTTATCTGTTATGTATGAGAATGAGCTTTGTTGTGTTTACAGTCAGTGTGTGCTCAGCCTGGGGGGGTGTGTACGCTTTGAATTTAATGTGCATTAATTGCTGTGTTTGCAGAGGTACTCATGGCTACATGGCACCTGAGGTTCTGCAGAAAGGAACAGCGTATGACAGCAGCGCCGACTGGTTCTCTCTGGGCTGCATGCTGTTCAAACTCTTGCGAGGGTAAGACTGCCCTCTGCAGCGGCCCGCTCATGAATTCTTTATCTCTCTCTCTCTCTTTTAGTCTCTGTCTGTGTTTCTCACCTGTTTGATGTGGAGTGTAAAGTTTAAATGTCAGGGGTTTGGAAGTAGGAGGTCAGGAGTAGACATCATAGAGAAGAAAGACACAGAGAGTGGGGGTGGAGACCACTGAAACGGTTGCTAGGTAGAGAGTGGGGAGGGGGGGTGTAATGGGGGAGGAGTCTGGGGCATGTCTTTCCACTGAGTGTCATACGCACTTCAAAGCAGAATGGAAGTGGGTCAGAACAAGCCTGGAAAAACACTATTTTTTTTTAAACAAAAAACATGAATTCTATATGTATTCCATATACTCTATGTACATGTATATATTTATCATTATATATAAATGAATTATATGATTTTATAAATTATATAAAATTAGATAATTTATATATATAATGATAATGATGATATATATATATATATGTATGTGTGTGTGTGTATGTATGTATGTGTATATATATATATATATATATACTTCTACACACATATATGTATATATATAATATATATACACATATATAATTGAAATACCATTTTAGTGATAATTTAATTATAAATATGTATAATTTTTATCTTTTCAAGCATTATTATATTAATTTATATCTACATTTGTGTATGTGTGGTGATTTATTTTAATTTATACCATGGTCTGTTTGAATACTGGATTCTGATTGGCTGGCAGGTGTGCATTAAAACTCTTTAATGCACAGGTAGTTCCAAGTCAGTTTAATCACAGTTCTATATTAATGTGCTGCTTTAATTGATGCGCGCGCGCACACACACACACAGTGCACTGCAAACAATAACAGCTTTATCTTGTCAATGCTGGAAAATGATGAAGGTATAAGCGGGATAATGCATGGCTAGCTGTGCATTAAACGATTTCGCGTCAGGTGGTTCTTGGCCTCCACGTCGTGCATTAAAATAGTTTCATGCACAGCTAGCCATGCATAATCACTTACATAAATGTGTGTGTAAATATAAATACATTTTAATGATGATTTTTTTTTTTTTTTCAGTTATTTTAATTGAATGATTACGTTTTTTAAATAATTTTTATGTTTTTGTTTATTTTATTCTTCTATTTTAGTATTTAAACTTGTTTTTTTTGTATGTGTGGTTTGTTAGGATAGGACAATATTTGGTCGAGATACAACTATTTGAAAATCTGGAATCTGAGGGAGCAAAAAATCTAAATATTGAGAAAATCGCCTTTAAAGTTGTCCAAATTAAGTCCTTAGCAATGCATATTACTAATCAAAAATTAAGTTTTTTATATATTTACAGTAGGAAATTTACAAAAAAATTTCATGGAACATGATCTTTACTTAATATCCTAATGATTTTTGGCATAAAAGAAAAATCGATCATTTTGACCCATACAATGTATTGTTGGCTATTGGTACAAATATACCCATGCTACTTAAGACTGGTTTTGTGGTCCAGGGTCACAAATGCTTGTGTCTCACGATCAGTGACTGAGATTGAAACTTTTTCGAACTTTCATGGAAACCCCCCTCCCGCCTACATGTCACTGCTAAATCACTATGTGTGTCTTCTCTATGACGTTGCGAGGGTAAGCATTTTGTGTTCAGTTACGTGAACTCAGTTTCTTCTCTTCTGCAGGCACAGTCCATTCAGGCAGCACAAGACCAAAGACAAACATGAGATCGACCGCATGACTCTTACCATGGTGAGAAACCAAAGCGGCGTCTTTCTCTGTTGTTTGTCTTTATGTATCTTCACACATGATCACGTATATATGAGAGTGCTCTGATTTAAGTTTCTTGGTGCAGGATGAAAAATCCCATCAAGAAAATAGGCCAGGAACTACCTAGAAGATCTTAGCAACCACCCAGTTCTTAGTTATAGCTTTAAAGACTTCAATTGAATCTTATTTACAAATGCTGTAACAGTTCAAACTGGTGATTAACAGATAGTGCTGTGAAACAGGAGATGGATAAAAGAGCCACAGCTTTCCATGGAAGTGAAGAGGGAACATTTCATCACAGCAGCACCTGTGCGTTTACACCCACTGTTTAACAAGGGAATGCTAATGGAGAGGAATTTGCAACCACGCTTTGCATTTACTGTCCTCCTCTCAACCATCACAGTAATTTAGTCCTCATCGAGCTGCCACGCTCTTGACTGTTGTACAGTCACTATAAAGAAAGTCACTTGTTTTTAATGCTGATTTTGTGGTTTCCCTTCAAAATGAAGACACAATTGAGCTGCCTACTTAGGCGTCAATGATCCCAAGGCAAAATTGTGCTACTTTCTGAGACATCTTGTTTTGATTAAAAGGAAAAGCAGCCCCAGTCCAAAAATACATTGTACAACTTAGCGGATGAAGTCAATGCAAATGTCAGTTATGAATATATTTTTTATTCTCGTTAGAGTATCAAATAGCTTGCTCAGAAACATGTCAGACTTTATTTTGCTGCCCATGAAAAATCTAGTCAGAAATCGGCAGAAAAAGCTTTCAGTGTCCAAGCAGCTGTTCACCCAGCAGAGACGTTAAACAGTTTTCCTCTGACCAGCAAGATGATCGTGTTTTGTGTGTGAACTGGAACACAAACATTATGGGCCAAGACGGAGTGTTCAGAGGTCTTCTTTTTTTCTTTTCTTTTTTTTTTCATAATTTCCAAAAGTAAATCTTTTTTTTTTTTAATCCTGGTGAAATAAAATCTGTTCAGTGGACACAGAGCAATTTTGACACAATTTAGCTATTAAGGTTTGTTTTTGGATGCCAACCTCACAGGGAAAATTATCTCCAGATTTCATTAGTCAAGGATTTGGAAGGTAAATCCTTGATTAGTAAGGATTTACAGTTAAAAATGGTAATATTGTGAAACATTATGAAATTTAAAATAACTATTGTCTGTTTGAATATATTTTAAAATGTAATTTATTCCTGTGATTACTCCAGTCTTCAGTGTAACATGATCCTTCAGTAGTCACTCTGATATGCTGATTTGGTGCTCAATTTAATTTATTATCATCAATGTTGACAACAGTTGTACTGCTTAATGTTTTTTGGAAACCATTTTTTCAGGGTTTTCTGATGAAGAGAAAGTTCAAAATAACATTTATTTGAAACTGTAATGTTTTATGACATTTTAAAGGGGTCATATAATGCTACATGCACTTTTACAAGTTGTTTGAACTGAAATGTGTGTTGGCAGTGTGTGTACACAACCACCCTAAAATGATAAAAATCCACCCAGTGTTTTTTTGTTAATCTACTAAAATCTTTACCCCTTTCTCAAATCGAGCCGATCTCAGATACCTTTCTGTGTGACATCACACAGACAGGCCACGCCCACGATAGTTTGATTGACAGTAGCGTTTCAGCACAGACTGGACTGGCGTCTTACCTTAGACCTGCACTGAGTGACTGTCATCAGTCCGCCATTGTTTAACCGCTGGAGCAGTTGTAGACAAGAATGACTCCTAAGCGATTGATGTCTTCTGTTGTTGGATGTAATAATGAACATAGCAGTCGGCATTTACTCCCGACATCTGAGCCGCTGAAAGACACAGTGGATTATGTTTGTTTTTGAAGGGAATGCACCTCCCAATCTACATAAATGCGTCTGTTCGCGCGAATCATTCGTGATCCAGCTTCATCTACAGAAGAAGTGAGTGTAAGGATTTTTTAACGAGTCTTTGCAAATCGCCTTTTCTAATAATGTGCTAATTAGCAAGTTTCACGATGAATGCAGCTAAAGTAAACAGTCTCTGAGAGCGGCTCGGAAGAGAGGGGCGGGGTCAGCAGAGCTCATTAACATTTAAAGGAAAATGCTACAAATCTGCATGCTCTGAAAAGAGCTGTTTTTGACAGGGTAAAAAAGGTGTTTTTTTACACTACCATTGAGAAATTTTAACCAAACTATGTTACAGACTTTTCATTAAGACCCTAAAGAATCATATCAACTTGTGAAAAATGGGCATCCTATGACCCCTTTAAATGTATTTACTGTCGTAAATCAGTTTTAGGTGTCCTCCTTGTATATACGTATCAAAAAGAAATCTTACTGACCCCAAACTTTGGAACAGTACTGTATACAGTACATTTTGCATTGAGTGAGGAACTAAAGACCAGAATATTGTTTAGACTTGAAGCTGGACCCTTTTGACTCAAACACACTCGCAAGTACAGCAACAAGCTACCACTCAGAAAACCTTAGCATCTATAATGCAATGCCCTGTTATTTAGTTCAGTGTTGTGGTGAATGTACCTGACAGCCTGAACTGAGTGAAGTTTATTTGTCTGCATTTACTGTGACTTTGGTGAACGTTGACCTTGATTTGAATGCGCAGTTGGCACTGCCTATTACGTAAGAGAATTGTTTTGGTTGTCCTCACATTCATTTGTATGATTGTGAGGATATTTAAATACCGCTAAGCACTCTGTACTGTTAATGCTCTGTTGATCTAGATGGCTACTGGAACGTTTGCTGTTCCTGCATATTTCCATTTTACTAATGAATGTTCAGTGTAACTGATGGGGAAAGCTAATGAAACAAAAGCAAACATCACGTGAAAGTGAAACACCAGCCGACATGGCATAAAGTCATGTTTAATGAGATATCAGTCAAGCTCATGAGCCGCTTCCTGTTCCTTCTCTCTCATCAGAATGTGGAGTTGCCTGACTCCTTCTCACCTGAGCTCAAGTCCCTCTTGGAAGGACTCTTACAGCGAGACGTCGCCAAAAGATTGGGGTGTCTAGGACAGGGGTAAGTCAAAATCTGTAATACTTAGACATTTTATCAGATGTGTATTTGGTTTGTAGTGAACTATCCAAATGAAAAAATAAATGTTTTGATGCCACTTGTCCAAATGAAGTGACTGTCTGAAATCTTTTAAACTTATAAAAGACAGAAGGACATGCTGGGAATTATTTGCAGCTCGTTCTGAATTGGATCAGATGTGTATTTGGTTTGTAGTGAACTATCCAAATGAAAAAATAAATGTTTTGATGCCACTTGTCCAAATGAAGTGACTGGCTGAAATCTTTTAAACTTATAAAAGACAGAAGGACATGCTGGGAATTATTTGCAGCTCGTTCTGAATTGCTGACACCTGCTGGTCAAAAGTGGTGATAGTTGATAATACACCCTATTTTTCCTGCATACATACAATATACTCGTGGAAAGCAATTTATAGCTATATCTATGTAGCAAATCTCAATTTATTTTTGTTGCAAACTAACTATTATCACCCATCTCTTTAAATAAAGTTTGATAAACAAGCATGTCTAACTTTATCTGCTTACATACAATATACTCATGTAATGCGATTTGTACTGTATATCATTGCAGCATGCAAACTATATTATTGTCCAGCTCTAATCTGCTAAATGCAACTATAAGACATGCAAATGTTAAGATTTTAGAAACCTCAACATTATGATTTTCTGTAAAGCTGCTGTAAAACAATGTGTTTGACTTGAATTTGATCTCTTTTATGCTCTGTAGGGCGTCAGAGGTAAAGGAGCATGTGTTCTTCAAGGGAATCGATTGGCAGCAGGTCTATCTTCAGAAGGTGAGACCTTCGACCTTGTTTTCAGTATCAGCCCTGTTGAAGTACTCGTATCATACACTCTGATAGAATAAGAGGTTTTGTGTAATTGCAATTTATAACTGATCTGATTTAGAGTCCAGATGATGAACTAGTCGTTCAGCAATCGATTAGCAAGCCTCAGATTTTTTTTCTTTTTAGTGGTGCTGCTTTAATTGGAATGAATTTAGATGAACATCATCGCGGAGAGTGTGTTAGAGTGCTGACAGTGGCTGTTAGCATACTAAAATCCTCTCTAGGAAGTTGTGACTCTAATTTCATTCCCTTTACAGCACCATTGGAACCAGCATCAAAGCACAAAGCCAAGCCTTCAATGATACATTTTCATAAGACAATTACTGTCAGACCTCAAATCACTTCCTGTGAGCAGTGTTCCCGCTAGTGTGCACAATCTGTAGATCTCTGTGTTATGAGGACTATAATAGTTTTCTGACATAAGAGGTCATTGAGCTTGTGGAGTGAAACAGTCAGGCTCTACAAGTAAAAGCTCCATTCATTTTATCCATAGGACAACTGATTTTAAATGATAGCTTAATAGCCTTTGAAGAAAGACTTACTGTGAGTTTAGAGATTGTAATTCAATGGTGTATGCATCCATTCACAGAATTATTTGCAGCTCGTTCTGAATTGCTGACACCTGCTGGTCAAAAGTGGTGATAGTTGATAATACACCCTATTTTTCCTGCATACATACAATATACTCGTGGAAAGCAATTTATAGCTATATCTATGTAGCAAATCTCAATTTATTTTTGTTGCAAACTAACTATATTATCACCCATCTCTTTAAATAAAGTTTGATATACAAGCATGTCTAACTTTATCTGCTTACATACAATATACTCATGTAATGCGATTTGTACTGTATATCATTGCAGCATGCAAACTATATTATTGTCCAGCTCTAATCTGCTAAATGCAACTATAAGACATGCAAATGTTAAGATTTTAGAAACCTCAACATCATGATTTTCTGTAAAGCTGCTGTAAAACAATGTGTTTGACTTGAATTTGATCTCTTTTATGCTCTGTAGGGCGTCAGAGGTAAAGGAGCATGTGTTCTTCAAGGGAATCGATTGGCAGCAGGTCTATCTTCAGAAGGTGAGACCTTCGACCTTGTTTTCAGTATCAGCCCTGTTGAAGTACTCGTATCATACACTCTGATAGAATAAGAGGTTTTGTGTAATTGCAATTTATAACTGATCTGATTTAGAGTCCAGATGATGAACTAGTCGTTCAGCAATCGATTAGCAAGCCTCAGATTTTTTTTCTTTTTAGTGGTGCTGCTTTAATTGGAATGAATTTAGATGAACATCATCGCGGAGAGTGTGTTAGAGTGCTGACAGTGGCTGTTAGCATACTAAAATCCTCTCTAGGAAGTTGTGACTCTAATTTCATTCCCTTTACAGCACCATTGGAACCAGCATCAAAGCACAAAGCCAAGCCTTCAATGATACATTTTCATAAGACAATTACTGTCAGACCTCAAATCACTTCCTGTGAGCAGTGTTCCCGCTAGTGTGCACAATCTGTAGATCTCTGTGTTATGAGGACTATAATAGTTTTCTGACATAAGAGGTCATTGAGCTTGTGGAGTGAAACAGTCAGGCTCTACAAGTAAAAGCTCCATTCATTTTATCCATAGGACAACTGATTTTAAATGATAGCTTAATAGCCTTTGAAGAAAGACTTACTGTGAGTTTAGAGATTGTAATTCAATGGTGTATGCATCCATTCACATTATTTTAATATATATTAAGTTTGTGTTGAAAAACGACATTACCCATGTTGCTGTACAGAAAATTTCACCAATCAGAGAGTAACAAATCACGCCAAAAGATCTTGCTGGGAACACTCATGTAATCGTAATTGAGTCAGACTAATTATGCTGTTATATAATGTATATAATCAACATTTTTAAATGATCAGTTTTATAATCCTCCATCATTTTGCAAGATTAACTAGTTAATTTTGAAAATGTTTTTTCTCTGCATCTTTTGTTTGGTTGCAGTACCCCCCACCCCTCATTCCCCCCAGAGGAGAAGTCAACGCTGCAGACGCCTTTGACATCGGCTCCTTCGATGAGGAGGACACCAAGGGAATTAAGGTAAAAACCAGTAACCATGGGACCAAACTTTTCACTTATTCCACTTGGTGCTCAAGGCTGATGTCTTTGCTTCAGCTCAGTGACCATCAAAGTGGACTACTTAGTAGGTCTTTAAGTGTAGCCTAGATTGCGTCCAGCACTGAGAGAACCGTATACAATCTAAGAGCACTTGAGCTTCTGTTTCATGCTTTAAAAACTGGAGGGATTTTCCACTATGCTGTGAGCATGTTAAATGACTCCCTAATAGCCAGAATTTGGCTTCTGGCATAAAGTCTGGTCTACATTGCAACTTTATCTCTGCCCACTTAGACAAGATGAGACTGTCTGAATTGAAAGTAATTGTAGTCTTTGTCCCTCCTTTTCAGCTGCTTGACAGTGATCAGGAGCTCTATAAGAACTTTCCACTGGTGATCTCTGAGCGCTGGCAGCAGGAGGTGGCTGAGACGGTGTATGATGCCGTCAATAGCGACACGGATAAGAACGAGGCGCGCAAGCGGGCCAAAAACAAGCAGCAGGGCCATGAAGAGGGTGAGACGCAGCACATAAATTGTTGTATTTATTCTGCACACCCCCCACCCCCCAAAAAAATTATTAGGTTAGATTTTATGTATTTATGTACTATTTATGTTTTGATATACACTGTCATTCAAAAGTTTTGGGTAAGTGCAATTTTTTATGTTTTTTAAAAAAGATTGTTTATAAAGGCTGGTATTTATTGGATCAAACATAGTAAAATCAGTAATATTGTGAAATATCAATTTAAAATAACTGTTTTCTATTTTACTTTATTTTAAAATATAATTTATTCCTGTAGTTGCAAGCTGAATTTTCAACATCATTACTCCAGTCTTCATGTACTCCAGTCACATGATCCTTCAGAAATCATTCTAATAATATGCAGATTTTTTTCAGGATTCTTTGAAAAAGTTCAAAAGAACAGCATTTACAGTATAATTAAAAAATTATTTTGTAATATTATAAATTACTTTACTGTCACTTTGGATCAATTTAGAGCTAAAAGAATGTATTTAAAAGTATGTATATATTTTTTTTAATTCTTACCCCAAACTTTGAATGAAAGTGTAACTGTAATATTTTTTTATATTTAATTATTTTTAATTTTGCATATTTTATAGTTAGTTTTTTTATCTATAGCCAAGTATTTGGTTTTGAATCTTGAAATATAGCCCCGATATTGCTTTGTGAAATTTGTCCAATAATAAGCTAACATATATGTATAGCAGCGCTTCCTGTGCAGTGAATAGATATTTAGAAGATTATATATCTTAGAGAAATCTTTTCATATACACAACATTTGTGACTAGTGAGAGGTGTCATGGCAATGTACACAGAGCAGCTGGTTGCAAAATGCTGTTTGTAAACATCCTGTTTGCTTATTCATCAGACTCTCATTTTCTGACTGTATTTTGGACTTCCAGAAGGTCACGAAATCTAATGAATGGCCGCTCCAGGCGTCTTGTCGTCTGCAGCACTCGGTCATTTACCCATGTTTTAAGCCGGTCCAAAAGATAATGTTCTCTGGTAGAAACTACAGAATTGACAAGCAGTAATTTCACACAGTGGTGCCGAGAGAAGAAAATGGCCTCTGCTACGGTAGTGCTACATTCTCCAGCATGAATTAAAGGCCCGGACTGACGTCAGCTAATCGGCTTTCACGGGTCCAGCGTCAGTTCCGTCAGCGACCTCGAGGAGAGGCCTGAACCCTACGTACTTGTCATGCAGTGCTGGTGCCACATGCTTCCCTCAAGGGAAAGACACAGAACCCATCACATGACCGACTGTGCGAGGGTCAGAAATAGATCTGAAAAAGCCAGTGTAATTTAGCAAACACTGAGTTAATCGTTTGCGTCATGACCCCAGGATACGAGCACGGGAGTCGTGAACAGGAATTCAAGTGGGTTAAATCTGAGAGAGAGTTAAAAGAATTGATGACCCAGCATTTATTCACTGTCGTCTCTTTCCAAATGTGACTTTCTTTACAAAAAAATATAATATGAATGAGAATATCCCAAAGATGCTGAATTTGAAGTTAATGCAATTATTCCAAAATGGCATTGAGTGTTATGTGACTGCGTGTGTCTGTGGTGTTTGTGCAGACTATGCGCTGGGGAAGGACTGTATCATGCACGGCTACATGCTAAAGCTAGGAAACCCCTTCCTGACACAGTGGCAGCGGCGATATTTCTACCTGTTCCCCAACCGCGTTGAGTGGAGAGGTGAAGGAGAGTCTCGGGTGAGTGTTTTTGTGTGTTTTGTTTGCTCTTAGCATCTGTATAAAGGGTTAAAAGGCAATTTTTTTGAGAATGAACATGCCTGTGTGTCCCTACGCTGTAGGAACATTGGACTAAAACATTAAAAAAACGTAAATTCAAGGTGAGTGGTGCATTTTAGCTGATTCCCCCTCTCCTTTAAATTTCATTGTTCATTGCAGAGCAGGAAATATCAAGATTTTGATAAAAATTCTAAGAAGAAGGCAAGGAGGAATCACATCACTTTATGTAAACCCTACATCGTCCTCCACCCTGCTCCGAAATTCCCATAGTGACGCAGGTTCACCTGCAGCCTAAACCATTGAGACACCCACCTCTCCTTTTAATATCCTCTGCTTCTTTCCACTTCTCCCATCCGGAGGAAGCGTTTGCGCTCAGATCTGTGTAATGCAGAAGTAGGTCACTGCAGGTTCCCTGGGGCAAGAGAGTTTCTGCCCTGATCTGTAACTAAGATAAAGAAGTGCATATTTTGCCAGTTTTCTGCATTTTTAACTCCCAGAGTCCCTGAATCTTCGATCTGAAGGGTAAATGC